GAGAGGGACAGCAGTGTCTCCAGTCCAGTCAGGTGTGTGTCAGTGTGTGAATTCAGGGGGAGTGTGAGAGGAGAGGGACAGCAGTGTCTACAGCCCAGTCATCTGCGTCTCAGTGTATGTCAGTGTGTGAATTCAGAGCTGTCTGTGAGATTACCTACTGTACAGACTGTACAGTCTGAATTCACCTGTCTGCACCTTTGTCCCAGAAACTACATTATCGCAACACACCCCAAAAAAGGGTAACAACTACAGAATTAGCAATACTATCCTATCTCTTAGTGTAAGATCATTATTCTCCAGTACTGTAACTAGTTTTAGCTTTGCAATTAAAAAATAATAAAAATACAAAGAAGAATGGATTCAAGTCATGTAAGGATGCTAACACTTTCTGAGATGACAGGAGAGAAAACATTGGCCAGGGTATTTACACATTATGGACAAATTAAGAGTAAACTTCACCAAAAACAATTCTCATTTTGAACTCCCTTCCCAACCCTGTGCTCCCTGTCCCCAAGAGGCCCCTAGCCAAAACAAACTGAGAGGAGCAGACCAGTGTGAGTCACCTGCTAACCCCCTCTGGCCAAAATATTAGGCACCCCCTCTGCACAATGTGTTGGGCGCCTGTGAGCAGGGAAAGGCCTCTTGACTGGGATAGGGTCACCAGCTGCATCCCTGTCAATTTCCACTTTTCTGATGGAATCGCCTTTAGGTGAGGCTGTGGCCAGGGTGGGGGGGCCGCACACCCCGCCAGCTCCTCTACCTCTCCACCGGGTGGCGCTGTGGCGGCCGTGCGGGCCCAGGAAAGGAACGGGAGTCTGCGTCTTGCCTGCCGCCCACAGTCCCTGTCCATTTCACTGGGGTCCTAATAATATGGCCGGAGAGCGTGTTGTCTTGAGCCTGAGTGGACGTCAGGCATCCAAAACCTGGGCAACAGCACAGGGGTAGCAAAGCCTGCTCCTGGTGCAACGCAGTCCGGGGTGTTTGCCACTGGGGGCTGAGCTATAGGAACATTCTCGATCATTATGGAAATTGTCAAAGCTAACAAGCTTTATCTGCAAAGTCTTCAGATGTCAAGTTATTTTGGGATCACCTATAAACCTCACCGGACTGCACATCTCCAGGAGCAGGCCTGGCAGGTTCTGTCACACGTTACGCGACACGAGATCTGCCCGTGAACCTGTCGCCCCCGTGGGGTATTCAGGCTGGCGAGGTGCAGATGACGTCTCCGGGGCTCCTCTGCGGCAGACGTGTGGAGTTTGCTCTGCGCTGGGGGTCTCTCGGGCGTCACGAGGTGAAGTAAGAGCTCTGCATGGAGTACAGCCGGTCGATGGGGTTTCCCACGCGTGCCTGCAGGAGCCCCGACTCTGTGGTTGCCAGGAGACAGTCTCCCAGGTGACCCAGGCTGCCGTCGCTGTCCAGGTCGTGGAACACCGTCTCTGAGTCTGAGGGAGGGGTACAGGGGCTGGTTAGGGCTGTTCTGGGATGCCCACAGTCCTTTAAACACACACACACGAGGTCTTACCGTAGGGGTGCAGGTGGTCCCCAGGCAGCTGTGGTGGGGTGAGACCATGACGGAAGGTCTCGTTGCCGTAGATATTCTGGTCCAGAGTCAAGAGCTGCTGGCGAGGTATTGTGGGATAGCTGGCCATCAGTCCATCCATCCCATGGACACTGGAGCCATCTGGACAGACAGGCAGATGGACAGATGAGAGAGTGACCTGTGTCCCTGCTCCCTACCCTTTCACACAGGGCCAGGGTTCATGTGTTCAGATGGCTGCTCTGCAGGATGGCCCCCCCATCACCCCGGCGCCCATCTCACCCTCGCTGTCCTCATTGCTCTGCCTCCCCCCTCGGCTGGGGCCCCTCCTCGGCCCCCCCAGCTGTTCCTGTTCCTGCTGTTGCTGCTGTTGCTGCTGCTGTCTCCGAGCAATCTTCTTCATCTGGGACCAGGAAAACGCACACACTGCATTACCCACTGGTCTTAACCCTGCACACTGGTCTATACACTGTATATACCCTGCACACTGGTCTATACACTGTATATACCCTGCACA